CACTGTCCTCTTTGAAACAGCATTATATGCAAGTAACAACTGCTATGTCTCCCTCAGTCTTCCCTAGGCTAAACTAGGCCTTTTAATTTTTACTCAGGTCACATGTTATTAATCTTATTTTAGTGGCTCTTTTCTGGACTCTCTCCAATTTGTTTACATCTTCTTTTAAAGAATAGTGTCCAACATTTGATGCAGTACATCAGGGGAGGTCTCACCCATGCTAAGTAGAATGCAATAATTATCCCCCTTATCCAACATCTATTAATGCATGCCAGGAAAGCATTTGTCCTTTTTAGGCGCTAAGATTGCATTGCTGATTTACAGTCAGTTTGTCATCTCTATAAACCCCAGATCATTTACTACAGTACTGCTGCCTAGCTACTTATTCAAATGTTTGTATTTGTTTTTTTATTTTTTTCCACTCTCTGATTTCAATAGTTTGCAACCGTCTATACTGACTTTCATTTTATTGATTTCAGAGTATTACTCCAATTTAAAAAAGATAATTTTTTATTCTAACACTGTTCTCCAGAGTGCTTGCAGGCCCTTCTAAGTTCTTGCCGTCATACAAAATTTAAGTGTAATCTCTATAGTCAATGATGCAAGTCATCGATGAAGATACTGAACAGTATTGAAGCCAGAGATGGGTCTCTCCGAGACCCTACTGTATATATCAGTGCCTCTCAACCAAGGTTCTATGGCACACTGGGGTGCTTCAAAATCCTTTCAAGGGTGCCATGAGATGCCACACTTAAGTATGCAAACACGATTCAAAAGATAAAACCAGAGATTTCAAATAGGAATCCACAGCTGCAGTCTTTCTGAGTCCTTTGCAACAGAAAACTGCTATTATTTTTCAGTAGTCAAAAAAGAATGAAAACAGAGCTAGGATTTGCTGAGGGGTGCCATATGTCTATCCAGGGGTATAGTAAGTCTATCCAGCCCTTGCCAGCCATGAATATAAAAAGGTTGAGAATCACTGTTGTATAGCTTCCTGCTTTGACAGTAAACTATAGATAACTACTCTGGGTATTTTTTTTAACTAGTTATATATCACAGGGATAGCCCTCAAAAAACATTGGTTTCAGCCAGCTCCTGTGTTACAGATGCACGAGGCAAGTGTTTTGTTCAAGCGGCCAGCCTTTAGAGTTTATGAAAACACAGAAGCATACCTCATTTTTGGGAAACTGACACAGCAGTCGTAAGAAGCTATGAAAGTAGAGAATGGAAATTCTGACAAATGCAGTTATCTTATGACATCACATGAACTAGTACAATGCTACATCATGCCACAGGTGAGAAATTTTAGGTGCAGCATGGAACAGAATTCTTTAGACTTTAAGGAACAGCATGCTCACATGTTCAATGTAAAAGATGCATTGCTAGGTTGTATTTTATGTGGTGCCAAGTGATCACTTACTTTTTATTGCTGTATTTTAATACTTCATGTATACAAAAGCTAATTTCCAATGATTTTCACACCAATACTTCCGTTAGTCAGGCTGTTGGTTATTTAAGAAAACATAATGGATTTTTAAGAAAAGGAAAACTAAAAGAGCAGGACTCCTTCACAGTATCTGATGCAGTTGTAAAGGGATTTTATTTATGGTATTTAAATACAGTACTGTGAAACAAACAACTTGGTTCACAGACAGTGCACCCGTGGCTGAACTGTCATTACCTGACATCCTGTCTTATCTGCCAAATTGCTCATTAGGTTTGGCAATTTTCACCTGCGCCTCCAGTTTATATTTCAGCAGGGAATAAACATCAGTCTGCTTTAACAATCTTCTGCAGTAAGCTTCCAACCTCTTCTGAGAAGCATGCAGGCACACACACACAAAAACACCTTGTGTACTATACAGCTACAAAAAAAAAATCCAGCTCAGCTGATGAAATATAGCAACAGGAAGTTTGGCTTTGATAATACAAAAAGAAAGAGAATGTGCTAGATACGAATTGTAACCATAGTAAGCTATGCATAGTATAGTACAACACAGAATTGGCATTATTCTTGTTTTCACATTTAGTTGGGAAGATTCAATTTGAACCATCTCCACAAGGGCATAGTATATACTTATATGTTTGCATGTGGGGAAAATGGGAATGCAGATGAATATTACTTTTCCAGCTGGACCTGATCTACCTAACCTTTTCCTTTCTCAGGGAGGAATGATGGTATGATTTACAAATAAACAAAAGGAGTAGCATGGCAACCAGAACAAAGAGAGATGAAAATCTCAGCAAGCCCTTAAGCTCCGGCCTAATACAGTTAGATGCAACCTCAGAACAGAAACCACTATGTGCCATTTGGGTGCAGGTGAACAGGAAAAGAATGGCACCCAGCTATAGTTTTGCAAGCAAACCACTGGGGAACATAGCCCAGCTTGTGGGCAAAAAGCACCAAAGAGGTAAAACAAAATGTCTAAAATGCTATAAAACAATTTTAGGCGGAATACTGTTTTTCATTTGTTAGAAGTAAAATATTCACCGCCAAACCTGCAATTAGCTAGAAAATTACAATAATTACAGCAATTTTGTATCCCATCTCCAATCCAATTAATAGATATATGACCTTGTCAACATGTAATAATCAGGATCTGCATCTACTACAAAACTGGATGGGTTTTATACACTGAATAGAACTTACACAGTAAGGAGGCAATTATTTGAAATACTGAGCGTACCATTTGTATGCTATGCTTCACTTCACCAGTTAAAAAGGAAATACAATAGGGATATTATTTCTATTTTCAATGTATATTTAAATGAAACTCTTGAAATAGGTAAGTCTAATACAGTATAATATTACTGAATTAGTTTCTATGCCCATGGGTTGGGACTCCTAAGAAGTGCATCCAGATGCTAACAGGAAAAGAAAACACATTCTAACTATTAGGCAGAACCTCTCTGATTGATATTAACATCTTTAGGCAAAAATATACCACTCCCTCTACTTCTGCATGCTTTCCCATGAGCACTGCAAGATCCACAGTCCATAACAGCTGGATGTGCACTGATATATCAGTTACCTATTAGATCAGCACCGATAAAAGGGAAATTTACATCATCAGCTATCGGCTTTTTTGGCCGTTGTAGCAGATAACGTTTACCAATAATTATGCCTTCTGGCCAGGGCCCTGGACACCTGGTTTCCCTCAGGAAACGGAGGGTTTTCCCTTGCAGGCAGACAGCATTCCAGCCTGCAACAGGTCCTGCTTGGGGCTGCCAGGAGCGAGTCACAGGGGGCACCACGTGCACGTGCAAAGCCACACACATGCACATGGCCAGGAATACAGCTGGGCAGCATGGAGAGCAGCACCCTGCAGGTAAGTCTATGGAAGAGAAGGGGTATGAGGAGGGACAAATTGAGGCCCCCATGGTGAGGGAGGAAGTGGGGCAGGGGCTGGGGGCACTGCCCAGCCAGGGTGGTGCACAGGACCCAGGGCCAGGGTGGGGAGCAGGACAGAGCCATGGGCAGCTCATCCAGGGGACGTGAAGGGGGCATGTGCCCCCCCGCCCCCCATTTGTACATGGAGAGGATGTGGACTGCTCACTGTGAGCTCAGGGCTCTCTGCCCTGCTGAATTTGCCCTGGGAGTCCGTGCCAGCAGCATGCCCCCTGCCCCTGGCAGCAGGGGGTACAACTTGCCACCCCCACTGCTGTCAGGCAGGCAGGGGGCACGCAGCCAGTGCAGGGTTCCCAAGGGAAAGGGCAGCACAGCAGAGAGCCCTGAGCTCGCAGTCCATATCCGCCCTGTGCACAAATCTGGGGAGAGGGGGCACATACCCCTGATGCCTCTCTTGGGGGTTACGCACAGTGGCAGGGAGTCACCCCCACCTCCCACCCCTGGACAAGCCACCTGTGGCTCCACCTCACTCCCTGCCATGCCAATTTAACCAGAGTAAATCAGTTACCAGATGAGCTTCAGCCAATATGGTTGGTTAATAATTGGCTACCGGTACGGCCAAAAAAAGTCTTTATAGATGCACTCCTAATGACAGCCCTAAATAAATTTTATTTTGCACTTTTATAGCACCTCTTATCATAGATTCTTCAAGCACTCTATCATCACTGAGTACTTTTCAACAGGTTTGTGAGTTAACCAGCCTAAGGGAAAAAACAAAACAAACAAACAAAAACCATGAGTTTTTGTCTGCCTCAGAAGCTCCATGCAGTTGTCGCAAACCTATTCTGGGTTTTTCAGTAAAGCATAAATTTATTGTAGAAGAGTTACATTAAAAAAATGATAGTGTGGCTGATTGTCAACAGCTCCTTATAATTTATGCAGGTAAATCCATACAGAGAACCTTACGTAAAAACACTTTAGAAGCTTATAGTGATTGATGATAACATCTGAATAGGTTTCTTGACATCATCAGCCAATACCATTTGATAATATTATGCAGACTGCTAAGAAAGTTATTGGATGACTAAAAAGCTAAAAATAATATTCACCGCTGAATTCCTGAATTTTGAGAAATAACCTGTCTACTGATTATAAAAAGATCATTCTGTTACATGTTATCTGTGTCCATCACCAGCTGTTTTAACTGAAAAGTGGTAAGTAAGCCACCAGCTTACTTGTGGGATGGGGGAAAGGTGGGGGAAGGGAAGGGAGGAGTACAGCAACCACTGCTTATAGTTCCTTTTTACCTTTTTCTTCATCTTATATACCAACTGACAAACAAAGCTACACACAACAACCTCATTTGAAAATGTTTCCGTAATTTTCTTTGTTTGGCAATTTATAACTGGAAAGAGACAGAAAAAAGACTTATTGCTGTTTAAAGGAGCATATAACCAATTTATTATAATGGAGAGGTTTGTTTACTTGCACGCAACAAACAGTTATCCAGCTTTTTATTTTTTTTAAACTGTAATCATCTTTCAATAAGGACAGATAATGAATCATATTCTCAGTAGTATAACTGAGTAACAGAAGTTGGCATCCTTGTAAATTAAGATTAAATGTGCAGAAACACTGAGCTTTCACTTACTTGCACGAAGCACTGAAGGTGTGACCTCAATTTCACTTGTTGCTTGATAAGGCTGAAAGGCTGAAGTGGTGTTGGAGCCAAGTTCACTGCCAAAAATCTCTGGACTTTGAGTGCCAGTCGAGCTGGCACTGGTGCCGTCGCCTCCATGATGTGGATCTTGTTCGTCAAATATGGCTACAAGCTGTGAATGACAAATTAATGCATTGTTTTAAAAACTGCAACCTCAATAGGCTATTGGAAATCAGCATTCCATTGCTCCTTCCTTTCAAAATAGTCAGAAGCCACCTAACAAACTAAGGGTCAAACAACATTATGGGTCCACCTACTCACGAAATGACCACTATGAACAGGGTGCAGATATACAACCTTCAAGAGGACCCACTGCCAGATTCTGCAGCTCACAAAGTAAGTGAAATAGGCCAAGAAAAAAAAAACAGGCTAACCAGGGAAGAGCCACATCTGTAAAAATCACTGGGGTGTGCAAAGCAGGCCATATTCAAATTGGATTCAGCCCAATTCGGGGGACAGTGATTCAATTCATTGATTCAGATCACTGTCCCAATTCGATTCACCCAAATCTGAGGATTCGACTTGATTTGGAGAATCAGCAATTCAGCCATAGACACAGCTTTATATGTATTTTCTACATACCTCAAGGTACCAGGTGCAGCTTGTGAATGCTGAGATAGTGGGGTGGATGGAGCGTCCCATAGGAGCGCAGGGGGCCCCCTGCATGCTCAGCGGTGGACCCGGAAGTACTTTCGATCGACTGTGGGGGGGACCCCAGGTGCCCCTCCAGAACCAGGAGGCACCAGGTGCCGAGCCAAGGAGCAGGGTTCCCCACGCACTCCACAGCAGACCCAGAAGTGGACCAGGGATGCTCCATCTGCCCCACCTGGTACCTTGAGGTATGTAGAAAAAACAAAGCTGTGTCTATGGTCGAATCCTCAAATCTCTCCAAATCAAATCGGAGGCTTCCGATTTGATTTGGAGATTAATGGGTCTCCTGATTTGATTCAGACATTGGGCCACCAAATCAGGCCAAATCTCCTCTGAATCGAATCAGCTACTGAAGCTTTGCACAGCCCTAAAAATCAACCCCCACCTTTTCTGGAAGACCTAGTACCACCTCTGTCCCTGCCTGGTAGTGAATAAGGCAACCGTACCATCAACTCCTGTTGAGACAAAAGTGTAAAATGCTTTCCCTTGCCCTCTCTAAAGCTGAAAACTGCCCTAAAGGGACAACAGGAAAAATTGACACACACAAGTTTATGAAATAAGCATACATGATGAAAAACAGTACACCTGCAGAAATGCTAATGCATGTATTAAAACCTATGCACAACCTATGTATGAAGTCATCCTAAAACACTGTAATTGTTGCCAAATACTGTACTTTACATATTTTAGTACAATATGAGTTGTGTGCATCTCCAACAGAACTTCATTAACCAACTCCCTGGAGTTGCATGAAGCCAACTTAGCTAAGATAAAGGCAAACATGTTTTTATTTATTATGCCTAATTAGACCTTGATAAAGATTTATCTAAATCGCTTGAATTCAAAAGGCAGATAAAATTATCTAAACCTATTCTAACAAATAGAGACTGCAAGAAAAAATAATACAACCTGTAAATGAACATAAAATATTCTTCAACATTAAATAAATGATGACTTATTTAAAGGTAAACCGCCCCTCATGTTTTATCATCCACAGTAAACCATTTAAAAATAAAATGCTGGTTTTCTTTTGTTTATTTTAAAACTGACCTGGCAAAGGAAAGATTATTATGGTTAAGAGAACTTTGTACCCTTCATAAATGCATCTGCAATTCAACAATTGACAGGCTCTTCCAAGAAATCATTCCATCCTACTGTCTAAACTAGATGTCTAATGGGCAATGTGAACTTAAAAGTTACACATATTATTGTTCTCTTTAACAGATAAGCTTACTATATATACCCAAAAGGGATTACTTTTTCTAGTTGGACTAGTTGTGAATTTGACGTCATTCACATTTAGTCAGTCAGTTTCACTGTTTCCCCTGTGATTTGTATGAGACTTCCACAAAACAAAAATTAGAAACCAATTTATAAAAATCAGGAAACAATTTTTAGCAAGAAAATCCAGCATGGGAATTTGGGATGCCCAAAACTTCTTGCATGCATTTATAAATGAGTAGATTTCAAATTGATAATGTCCCTTAAATACTGCCAAAGAAAAACATTGTGGGCACTTCCAACATGCCCTTCACCCTGGCATCTAGGCTCTGATCTGGGCAAAAGAGCAAGAACAAAGGGAAGGGTGAAAATATTTAAACCAATTTAGAAGGCAAGGGACAGAAATAAAACAAAGCTGTTATAATATATTTCTGATTCATAAGCCATTAATTCATACACAAAATATATATGTCCTAACTTCACAGAAAAAATATGCAAGAGACATTGACACCACCTTTGCTCTAAGATTTCCGTTTCTTTAGATATATAGTAAAAGAACATTTTCGAGCATACTGGGAAGCATCACACATAACAGAAACTGAAATTTTTGTCAAGGAAATTAAATAGATTTTGTGATACTTATCCTTATTTTAATTTAGCCATTTTTAATGAGACCCTTATTCCTAACATTTAGTATTTCGTAAGTAAATGACCCACAAGTGTAAATTTTCAAGATTCTATTCAATGATATTGGTTGGAGGGAAGATGCAGAAAATAATAACCAGGACATGAAAAGCACACTTAAAAATTGTGACAAGAGATGCAAATGATTTTCCCCTACATGGTCCTTTCCTTTCTCATGTCCTTGCGACATGGTAGTTAGCAGAATTTGCCAATGCACTGGAATCTGACATGGCCATGCTGTGACCACTTCTTCTATGACCTCAAACTCTCAACCTCTGGGCTTCTAGCTGCTCACCCCAGTGTTAACACCACTGGAGCAGGGCCCTGTATGTGGTATATGTCAGTTTTAATCCCAAAGTTACATTAGCTTCTCTTGAGACAGACTGACAAGTGTTCTCTGGCTTTGGGACTCTACATTCTTTACAGCAAAATTCCCAACAGACATTCAGTTAAAGGCATGATGGGATCTTATCTGGTATCCCAGGGTTGGCTCAACCTCCGGCCCATGAGCCAAATGCAGCCCACAAAAGCGTAATATCCAGCCCACAGGGTTCCCCATGGGGCAGGAAATGTGGTGGCGAGGGAGCAGCAGCAAGTAATACTACCACTCTCCCCTGCTGCCAAATCCCCAAACCCTGCAGAGCTGGGCCATGTCCCCTCACCCACAATTTGGTGAAACAGCCCTGCCTCACTGCCCCATGTGCCTGATTACACCCATCGGCCAGGTCAGGTCTGCAGACAGATGGAGCACAGCCCATCTGAGCCATAGGGCAAAAAGGTTTGGCACCACTACGCTATCCCAACAATCATGATTCCTGCCAGGCCACATATGCATGGTAGAAGGCACAATCCTGGGATCAGATCTCAATGGCACCCTGCTGCTGATATGGGGGAACCAGGGTCCTTCATGACCCCAGGCTCCCTCTGCACAAACAGTGCTCCCATGGCTTGGAACATCAGTCAGCTGACTGGTACTCCAAGCTGTGGGAGCAGATCAGTGTCCCTAGCAGGATTTGAAGGGCTCCAGTGCACTCCAAGGACTGGGAGCACCAATCAGGTGACTGGTGCTCCCAGTCTCAGGAGCACACCAGAGCGCTGAAAGGAAAGGCCATGTGTTCAATTTAAGGTACAATGGAAACAAGCCACAAAGTTATTACACATTTTGTGAAATATCTTTGTGACTCATTCCTTTTTTAATCAAGCCATTAATTGCTTGAACCTGTTGCCAGGTAACCTGTTGTAATGTCTGCCAGGGACCTAAGTAGTGTCCAGCTTTTTCCACTAGTTCGCCTATAATCTAAAGACTGACCATTCACATTTCTATTTCTCCTTTGAACTTATACATCCCAGCAGTTATTCACTAATTCACCAGCATCAAGCTTTCATGAATTTTCAAATCTATTGAAAAACTTGTCAAGTTGTATTATGTCTGTACACTACAGGGAAAAATAAGAAATATTCAAGTTTTTAAATGCTAACAATTTTATTTCCCTGTTCTACAGGAATGGCTTATACCTCACATCATTTCTGCACTATTTAAGATATTTACCATACAGTACAGTAGTGATTTTATAAGCGTGTTTTCAACAAAACACTCCTCAGTGACCACCCCATAATCATGGTCTGCAGGGACCTGTAATAAGCAGAAATTTGGATTCTGATTTTTCAAAAATTGTTTAGGGTTCTATGTGGGCGACTGACACTGCAGAAGCATGACATGGAAGATCTATGGTCTGTTAAGCCAGTAACATTTTCTTATATTTATTAGCACTGCACAACATTCATTATCAAAGAACCAGCTGCATACTGTCCTAGCAAAAGCTGTACCACTGACTACTCTAAACAGCAAAGATTTCAACATCTATCTATTCTGGACCAGAAGCCATTGGAAGCTACTTCTGGGGCTATCTAATACCAGTCTGCAAAGTGAACATTTAACTTGTGATCCCTGGGAATTCATTTCTTCATTGAATATTATGGATACCTATACATGTGCCGGACACCTGCTAAGTAGCACACATTGGAGCAGACTCAATTAATTACCTAATTAGCACACTGCAGCAGCCTCCATGTCGCATGTATTCAGTGTCCCCACTGTGGCGGCGTGAGCCACTCCCGAGGACAAACCCCGCAGAAAACTTAGCAGAGAAGCAGGCCGGGCTGGCAGGTAGGTCGCATGAGCCGGCGCTGCACCAGTTTCTCAAGCAGCTATCAATCAAGTTCGATGGCAGCCGGCTGATTACATGCAGGAGAGTTAAAAATGCTGGCAGAAGCTCGCAGGGTAGAGAGAGGCAGGAGGCAAGAAGCCGAGCTTGCCAGGTTGTGACCCGTTCAAGCAGTTAATTACAAACGACCCTGCAAAGAGTAGGCAAGGGCAGTGTCAGGGAGCCAGACAAGGCTTGTCGAACCCAGGCTCCACAAGAGCAAGCTTGGGGTCAATCACCCACCCCAGGGCACAGGCAGAGTTTATTCAACCCCGAGCCTATGGAGGACACCGAAGGCACAAACCCTGCACTGAGGTCAAGCAAAATCGAGGACCCAGAGTGAAGAGCAGGCTGCAACCACAAGCCTGCACTGTCAGCAGAGGTCGAAGAGGCTGGGGTCCCTTGGCTGGAGAAGAGAAGCCAGGACCACAGGCTGGCACAGTGGCACAACAAGTCCAACAGTTGACAAGTGGAGGGATTAGGGAAGACGGAGCCCCAGGACCAACCACAACAAGGCACTGAGTACCTGGTCTCCAGTCTCGGGCTTACAACACCACTGAACCCCTCCTTTTCAGTTAAAATTCCAATCAAGTCATGCCAGGTGAGTTGGGGTGCCTGTCCCAGGGAGCAGAGAGGTACTCATGGTGCCTACTGAGGTTGTGACACCCTCTCTTCAAAATGGCAACAGGGGTGCTTTAACTAAAGGTCATCAAACGAGCTTTGGCTAAAGCACCCCCGCTTCAATTTTGATGCATGGGATGCTGAATACATGTTACTCTGCATGCATTTTAATTAGAGCAGTTTTTGGAGCTGCTCTAACTAAATTAAAGCACCCTGCCCCTCCACACCCCTGAGCATGTATACAGACACCATATATTCACAAGTACACACAAGGCCTGGAAGTAGAAGCCTGAGGTCATAACTTGAATTTTGAGGCCAAAGGGGTAGTGTCAATCTGGAACAGCAGCTGGATACGATTATGAAACCAGCTTCTATTAACCTTCCATACTTACACCATAATGGTATAAATATTGAATCACAACAGGGTTTAACCATAAAAGTGGAAGAAGGGAATGAAAATGAAGGTGATCTTTTCTTAAGGCAACAACATCTAACAACACACTTCTCTGGTCCAGAACACTTCTGTATGGATTCTGGGAAGACATTTTGAATGTTGACTTTTCTAGTAAACAAACAGAGAACTGGCTATGACCCTACATAATTTTGCAGTGAGATGACTGCCAGTTTTAAAATTGTGGGTAGATTTCCAGAGCTATTCCAGGTTTCATAGATTTCATAGACATCAGGGCTGGAAGGGACCTCGGAAGATCATCGAGTCCAGCCCCCCGCCCAAAGGGCAGGAAGTCAGCTGGGGTCATAGGATCCCAGCAAGATAAGCATCCAGTTTCATCTTGAAGGTGTTCAATGAAGGTGCTTGAACCACCTCCGGTGGCAGGCTGTTCCAGACCTTGGGGGCTCGGACAGTAAAGAAATTCTTCCTTATGTCCAGCCTGAAACGATCTTGAAGTAGTTTGTGACCATTCGACCTCGTCATCCCTTGGGGCGCTCTGGTGAACAAACGTTCCCCCAGATACTGGTGGTCGGTCACCCCTGATAAACTTGTAGGTGGCCATCAGATCACCCCTGAGCCTGCGATTTTTCAGGCTAAAGAGCCCCAGGGCTCTCAGCCTGTCATCGTAGGGTCTGCTTCCCTGACCTCTGATCATGCGCGTGGCTCTTCTCTGGACTCTCTCAAGCTTCTCCACATCCTTTTTGAATTGTGGAGCCCAAAACTGGACGCAGTACTCCAGCTGCGGCCTCACTAAGGCCGAGTACAAGGGGAGAATGACGTCCCGGGATTTGCTTGAGAAGCATCTATGGATGCAAGCCAGCGTTTTGGTCGCTTTACTAGCCGCCGCATCGCATTGCAGGCTCATGTTCATCTTGTGGTCAATGATGACCCCCAAGTCTCTTTCTTCCATAGTGCTAGCCAACATAGCACTGCCGAGCCTATAAGGATGCTGCGGGTTTTTTTTTCCCAAGGTGGAGAACCTTGCATTTATCGGCGTTGAACACCATCAGATTCTCGTCCGCCCACTTGCTGAGCCTGTCCAGGTCAGCCTGGATAACCTGCCTGTCTTCTGGTGTGGATGCTTTGCCCCCAAGTTCGGTGTCATCGGCAAACTTGGCCAGTCCGCTTCTGACTCCAGTGTCCACATCATTAATGAAGATGTTGAACAGTATGGGTCCAAGGACAGAGCCTTGGGGGACCCCACTGGTCACAGGACACCACGACGAGTGACTTCCATCAATTACTACCCTCTGGGTCCGACCACGGAGCCAATTTTCCAGTCAGTGGATTGTGGAGGACCCAAGGCGACAATTGGTCAGTTTCTCCAAGAGGCGATCATGGGACACCAGATAGAAGGCTTTTTTGAAGTCAAGATATATGACATCAATCTCTTCTCCCTTGTCCAGGTGATAGGTCACCTGGTCGTAGAAGGAAATGAGATTGGTCAAGCAAGACCTACCCGCGACAAACCCGTGCTGGCTATCCCTTAAGATGTTGACGTCGGCCAGTCCATTAAGGATGGCCTCTTTAATAAACTTTTCTAAGATCTTCCCCGGGATAGAAGTCAGGCTGATGGGCCTATAGTTAGCCAGATCCACTTTCCTCCCTTTCTTGAAGATAGGCACCACATTGGCCTTCTTCCAGTCTTCGGGCACTACACCAGAGCGCCAAGAGTTTTCAAAGATCCGTGCTAGAGGCTGGGCTATGATGCTCGCCAGCTCCTTGAGTACCCGGGGTGAAGATTGTCAGGGCCGGCTGACTTGAAGGTATCCAGCTTCTCAAGATGTTCCTTCAGAGCTTGTAACTTCAAAGTTAATTACTTTACTTTTAGTTTTGGATTTTACTGCACAACCTAACTTCAGTTCTTATGGCTAGGAACTCTAAGTGTTCTTGAAAGGACTAAAAAAGGTAATG